CTATTGTTGATGCCCCTGGCATACTATATTAACTAGACAGTAATTCCTTATATTTCCATTTCATTGTGAAATAAAATTGTACATTTAGGCTTTAAAAATGTATAGACATAGATTTAAATTACACGAGGATTCCCATCTCAATTTCAATAGTCCTCGCCCACTGACGTCATGCAAACACAATGGCAGTCGCACAAAATTTTCATGCATATTTGGTCTCCTTAGCCTCATTGCAGACTCAGAACACAGAAGTGCACGAGATTTGCATGCATATTAGGTCTCCTTAGCTTCTGACCTATTGACCTGCCTAATTTACATTCCGGTAAAATTATCAAGAAATTAACTCCGCTAACTTTCAAAGAGTTATCACAGAGAGAAAAATTAGAAATGGAAAAATATACATATACATGATATATTTGCATGGATCTAGAAAACACATATATGGATTAGTGAATTTATTTATAACCCTGATCTTTATCTTCATATTAGAACTTATTTGCAGGTGTTAACTGATTCCAAAGTTTACAAGCTTTACTATCTCGATGTAGAGAAACATTTAAATAACAGTCTTTATAATAACACTGATCGCGTCATTCTCTGACATTTTAACACCAGACACAAATGGGGTTTCGCTAATTAGAGGAAAAAGTATCTGAAAATTCCCACCCATCATCATTATCTGTAAACATGATAAACTTTAAAAATACTCTTGTTAGTTGTTAGAAACGCAAAATTTACATCATAGAAAATTCAGGTTTATTACTGCAGTTAATGCTTCCCACTGTTGCCATCAGAATATCAATATTCCAATCGATATATTGTGATTTATTGACCAAAAATAGCGTATTGCCGTACATTTCCTCAGTGCTGATTTACCAGCAAAATGCTTGGGTTTGGGATTTCTAAAGTAAAATTTTAAGATGCCGAAATGTTTTCAATTGTGCCATTACTAAAAGACAGTTGCATTTTGTTACAATGTACAATACTGTACAGTGGTGAAATCAAAAAGATTTTTTTTTTCATTTCAACTTAAGTTAAATTAGTTTACAATAGTTAGACACTTAACTGCTTATAAATGGAGGCTTATTGAAAAATAAGAATCGCCGGATGTTAATGGAAATATCATATATTTAAATACAATTATAATATATCGCCGCAATACAGTTAAAGATATTGCAGTACATCACAATTTGAAATTCCTTTCTTAATATACCAAGTCCTAATTTAAATGTTTATTGAATTGTTTTTCTGGGCCATGTTTCTACTTATTTTTTTTTTAATGTGCATACTTCTGCTCCAAAATTAAAAGCATGTTTACTTGTTTATATAGAACATAATTACTTTAAATGTCATCAACGATAAAAACGTGTTCGCTCTTTTCAGTCAAAAATCAATGCCAATGTGATGTGATTAATTTAATGTGTAGAATTAAATACTGGTATAAATATCTTAAACCAGGCTGGCTCATGTTACAATTTTAAGAGTAAGTCAGTTAATATATGATAAAATAATTTTTAAAAAAAACTTAATTTTTTTCCCCATGATTATAGATAACCACATGAACTCTTTAATCGTGAATTAAGCTTTTTGGAGGGGATCAAATAAAAATTGCTCAATAAAAACAATTTTTATCAATCGATCGTTAATCATTATAAACATCAAGCTTTGAGAGACTGTGTGGGACTTATTATTTTTACTTATTACTGACAAAACAATGTTGTAAATCAAAGACTAACATAGACCTTGGCCTGGGGTGTGTTGGGTCTACCCTTAATGCACTCTTCTCAGTCTGTCTGTACCATTGTCTCGCCGTGAGAATTTTTTGGCAGTGTTTTTAGGGCACTCCCTATCAGTCTATGGTATTGATTGTCTAGTCTGGTAGATTTTTTTGTCAGTGTTTTGGGGGGGTCCTGATCCGGTTTTTTAACGTCCTGCCCGAGACTGGTACGAATTGTTCTAAATCACAGGCTATATCCTACTGATAACATGCATAGCATGAGAGGGATTATTTCTGTTTAAGGTATTGCTATAGTATCAATCCAGGGACAATTCGTAAGTTTACGACTAAACATTCTAAATGAAATACATCCTTGATTTCAAGGCCAGTGATCGAACAGAAGGCAAAAACAAGTCGACTACGACAAAATGAAGGTTGCATGCTGGGTCAAATAAACATCACAGATGCACTTGTTTGTGCATTAATAAACAACATTCTTGACCGTAATTCAGTCATGCAGAACCGTCTCATAAAATATTTGACAAATGGGAAAACAAGCTAAAAATAAAATCCTTAATAATTTGTTTATGCTTAATAAATGTAAATTTCCTCCACAGAAGCAAACAATGTGTTATTTATAAATGCACAAGGCTTTTACTTCTGTTTACACACATAATTATGATAATATAATAAATATTGTGTGTATATAGTTAGCAAAATAGGAAGTTTTTTTTTCTCTTAACCTTCCTCAAGCTAAAAGAACTTTTGTCTGTGTGTTACTATTAGTACAATAAGTTTTTAAGACTTAACACAATACTAGTACGTAATACTCTCTCATTGGTTAATTTTTTTTTTATTTCACCAAAATTTGTCCTTAAATAGTTACAAGAGGAGAAATTAGGTGCGTTGTTTTCTGAAAATCTAGACAACAAAGCCTATTTAATCTTTTCAATGAACATGTCGATGAATCACTTGTATCACCTAGACTTTAATAAGATTAGTTGAATGTTTCAACGTATCTTCTCAATCACTAATTAAGAATTTAAGCTGTATTGATATAGATCTAAAAACAGCTGATCTTAAAATATTTTGCCTCCAAGGAATAAGATGAGAATTTTCTTGACAAAAAATTTACATCTCTTTCTTTTTAATTCTATAAAGATAACTAGATCTTCCTCCAAAGTAGTTTCTAATTTTGTCCTAACTTAATAATCATAAAAGTGTTGACTCTTAGAGCTGGGTATCGCGGCTGAAAAATCGTATCGCGATATATTGCAATATTATATTTTGTATTGCAATATATCACAATATAAAATTTTTAATAAATTTTGCTTTTTATCAATGTTAAAAGAAAACAAAAACTCAAATTCCATGTATTCTCGAGTTGATATTACAACTGCCTGATCGCGTTGTGTGTACGCAAGTGGCAAGCTAAGTTTTTGTGGCACAACTTTAAGAATCAAAATGCAATATTCAGATTCTGCTTTAACATGAAGGGCTTTCATGTAACAGTTGTCGTCTTTTCATTTCTGATAGACATGTCTCTGGTTTCCGGTCAAACTTCTCACGTTGCTTGCCGCAATATTTTACCTTGAAAGGGGCAAATAACTCTTTTTGTAACAATTTATAGGATATCGAACCCGAACCGGTATTCACAAAATAATATCGCGATACGTATTGTGAAGAACAAAATCGGGATACACTGGTTAACCGGTAATATCGCACAGCACTATTGACTCTACTTAACTATACCCCATCTTTACTTTATCTGTGGAACTGTAGCTCTCTGGTCTGTCTATCCAAATTATTTCACCCATGCAGAGAGCTAAAGCTCTGCAGCAACCCATATCCTTCCTAGGTTGTGCATAATTTTCCTGATCGCATGAACAAGCACAAACAAACAGACAGGCAATGAAAAGAAAACACCTCTGTTAGGCTTGGGATGGAGGTACATGTAAATAATCAAACTTTCGCATGGCAATTCTAAATACCGATAAATAATATATTTACCGTACATGCTGAATGAAGAAAATTAATACGCTGTATTTTTTTTCTACATTAAATATGATGATCTAAGTGTGAAAAAGCAATAAAGGACAAAAGCTTTCATTTATTCTATATCGTATGCATATATTATGAAGCCTCTCAAGACGCATGTACATTTTTCCGTAATTCGAACGACTCAAATTTTTCTGTCTTTTTTGTTCTCCTTATTGTATGAAATACAAAAGAACTCCACACCTGTCACCGAATTTAAATTTTTAAAATGAAATCCCGACTACTGTTAATTATCTGCTACACACTTACTGGGTGTCCAAGTAATTTAAAACTTTTTCCCCCTTCTCCTTTGTATAATTTTCTACATATTAAGCCAAAACTCATGAATATCAAAGAATTGCAGTCTGGCTAACATTTTGAAATATCAGGGGCCCGTTTTACAAAGGAACTTATGCAACTAAAGACTAAAATATAATTTTGTTCATAACTTTCAAATTAACATTTTATAGAAAATAGATTAATTTTTTTTTTTAAATGAGTGTCGCAAGATATTTTCACTCTGACAAATTAACAGAATAATTGATTTTTTCAAAATTTTATAATCATATATAGTTTTTTGCTTGTAGTCGTACTATTTCTTTTGTAAAACAGGTCTTAGGACACAATATATTGCTGTATCTTTTCTGCAACGTATCTCGAACCAAAAACAAGACGGAAAATCGAGAGAATTCCTCCATAAACAAATCGACTTTCCTCGTGTTTGACGGCCATTAAGGATGTTAACCAACAGAAACCTATTGCTTTAAGATGAAGGGCCGGGAACCAATCATACAGATGACACGTCTATTACGAAAACGGACCACAGATAACACAGTGTGCAATGTACTGAGTCTGCAGCTTCGTTAAGGGCTTTCAAGTAATTAATAGATATTTTAATGTAACATTCACCTGAGAAATCAATCATGGACCTTCAGCGGGAGAGATGGATCTCGTTAGAAATTACGCTGATCAATTAAATAAATGGAGACTGTCACCTGCCTATCAGGGATACACAAAACAAACAACAACAGCACAGTTCCCCTGGGGTGGCGGGAACTGTTCCCCAGGATGGCAGTAACCTAACCCATACCGAAAAAAGTTATAACTTAGTTATAACTTTTGTAACTAAAAAAAGTTACAAAAAAGTTATAACTAAGTTATCGGAGTTTGGAATGGCATGTTTTAAGTGAGGTATAATTTAGTTATAACTTAGTTACAAAAAAGTTATAACTTTTCACCTTTTATTGAACATAAATACAGCAAGTACATAAAAGTTATAAAAAAGTTATAACTACAAAAAGTTATACTTATTAAAAGTTACACAAAAAGTTATAAAATAGTTACAAAGTTATACTTTAGTTATACCCAAATAAACAGTGGAAAAGTTACAAAAAAGTTATACCCAAAAAAAGTTATGAAAAAGTTACAAAAAAGTTATACCCAGGAAAAGTTATAACTAAAAAAAGTTATACCTATTATAAAGTTATGAAAAAGTTACAAAAAAGTTATACCCCAAGAAAGTTATGAAAAAGTTATAGAAAAGTTATACCTAAAAAAAGTTATAACTGCAAAAAGTTATAACTATAAAAAGTTATACCTATTAATAAAAACTTTCGTAAAAGTTCCAGTGAAATTATACACTGTTAACCTGTTGTGGATTTACTCAGTTATAAGCTTTTAAAAAGCTACTCATTAAAATTTAAAAAAATAAAAAGGTTTTTGAAATTTAAACAAAAAAGATTATTTAAAACATATTAAAGGCAATAACAATTTTACCTAACAAACACGATAAAGATAGCTTGGTTTATTGTCAAATACAACTAAATGAATGCACATGCAATTGTTTTAAAAATTCAAGTGTACCTTATTTTACATCATGTCATCTACAACAGATTGAAATTTCTCTGGTTGTTTTAAAGAATACATTTTTAGCATATAGCAATTAGGGTCTTTGTAAAATTACCTAGCAAACTGCATTCTACTCTTGCTAATTGTATAAACAGACATCACTAATTTTTAAATATTAACACCCTATTTATTTTTGATCTAGCTGTATTTCAAAAAAAAAAGAAAGTTTCTATAAACAGTGATTTCAGTCACAGTTTCTAGCTGCATACCACCCTCCTTGCACAGGTATCCTTGCAGGTGTACAGTTGTTTATCTTTATTATTTGAAGATAAGCTGCACTGAAAGTTGGCTGAGTTAGCTGACAGACTTAGCCATCGTTTGACAGGCCGCACTGGTAGTAGACCAAGTTAGTTGAAGGACTTGGCCATCGTTTGACAGGCCGCACTGGTAGTATACCAAGTTAGCTGACAGACTTAGCCATCGTTTGACAGGCCACACTGGTAGTAGGCCAAGTTAGTTGAAGGACTTGGCCATCGTTTGACAGGCCGCACTGGTAGTTGGTCAAGATAGTTGACGGACTTGGCCATCCCTTGACAGGTCGCATCTGTAGTTGGTCAAGTTAGTTGACGGACTTAAACGTCCCTTGACAAGCCGCACTGGTAGACGGCCAAGTTAGTCAATGGTCTTAACCGTCCCTATATTGACAGGCCGTACTGGTAGTAAGCCGAGACGAACTTGGCCATCTCTTGACATGCGGCACTGGTAGTAGGTTAAGTTAGTTGACGGACTTGACCATCCCTTGAAAAGCAGCTCTGATAGTAAGCCAATCTAGTTGATGGACTTAGTTGTTCAATGACAGGCCGCACTGGTAATAGGCCAAGTTAGTTGAAGGACTTGACAGGCTGCACTGGTAGTCAGCCGAGCTAGTTGATGGACTTGGTCATCCCTTGACAGGCCGCACTGGGTCAGCCGAGCTGGCCGAGGGACTTGGCTGGTGGACTGCATCCCTCATTTTAGCTGGTCAGACGTCTTGGCTGGTGGGCAGTGTGACTGGTAGTCGGCTAAGTTTTCGTTGAAATATGCTTGCAATTTTAACCTTTTCTTCAATTCTGCAAAAAATTGTAAAGGTTCAAAATTTAGATTAAAGATATTTAGATAGTATTTTTCCAGCACTCATTTGCACATCAAATTGAAAACACTCTTCCATATCAATTAATTCAAATTCATTAATTCATCCAAAACATGGAAAATACAAGACTAATTTAAGATTTATACTTACAGGAATCAGTTTTAGATTGAAAGATTTATTGAATTTTGAAATGAAAAAAAATTTACTTTACCTTAAACAAGTAATATTGTGAAGAATTTCATGTACTCCAGGGCAGGACAGATTCAGCTCATGGAAACATCATGTACCAATATTCTGCTTTATAAAAAAAAAAGAAAATTAATGTTAAATTACTCATTTCATTGCATTATTTAACATTGCAGCTATAGATCATGTTATGATCATGCTGATGCGTATAAGGCTTCACAATATTTTAACAGTTCAGGGAATCTATAAACAATTGTGGGAATAAATATGACAAAGAACATATTTGATTAATATACTAAATGCTGAAAAATATTATGCGTTTCAAATACTTTCAATTTGTTTACTTCAGTCTTTGTCATTCGACATACCAATCAAAACAAACAAGAAATCTAAGATTCACACGCCTAGAATTGTGTTCATTCCCAATATTTCTTCTTTTTGGAATGTTATTCCAGAGGTACTAAGTCTACTTTACCAAAATCAATAAAATGTTAGCATAAATATCGCCTTACCAACTGGTTTTATCTCCTTTTTTTCTATCAACACTTTCAACATCCAGACATTCAAATCGTCCATGGAAAAATCCGCGCTCTGTTATTGACCAATCATAGAACTCAAAAACGTCACGTGATCGAAAAAAATAAATAAATAATTCATTATTAATTTATTTTAAATGCAAATAAACCTAATTGTGTAATTTCAACCTTAAATTAAAAATATAAATACCAGTTGGTGTTAAAATTTTGAATTTATCTTAGTATCAACAAAACGGACATCGGAGGCCGGCGGCCGCCATATTTGCCGCCATTTTGAATTTAATATTTGTTTATTTGTGAAAATAACTATTATAACTGGGTTATTTAATTATGCAAACAATAAAATCTACATGTACTAGTCATCTGCTTAAATCTTAATATAAGTGGCAGTCTTTATTCACAACATCGTAATATCTGTTCAACATGAACATGCACATACTCTATGCTGCTGTTTATCTTTTTAGCCACCCATATTACGACTGATTTTCTGCAGATTTCAAACAACCTGTGTAGAATTTACCATTCAGAGATTGTGTAATACCCAAGCTGAAAAATTTACGATGTGTTGGCCACAAAGGTCACCTAGTACAAACACCTGTCTCACAGAAAACAATAGGGAAATTTACACTGTTTTGCACACGAAGACTTCATGAGATTACATTTCATACTGTTTATATCTCTTGCAGTACATTTATATTTCCCAAAATTATGAAATATATTCATTCCCAACTTCAGATGTAAGTGCATTATTATAATTTACAAGACAAATATTATGTCTCATCAGGGTCTCAATAAATACGTATTTTCTAAGAGAGAGAGAGAGAGAAGGAGAGAGAGAGAAATTAATTATTCTCAACTTTAGTTGAAACTTACATGACAAATATCAATTTAAATAGACAATAATATTTATTACACACACATGACATGTACTGTGTACACACCCTCAAACACCACAGAGAGAGAGAGAGAGAGAGAGAGAGAGAGAGTTTCTCATTTATAGATGTAATTCACAAGATTTTATTTCACATCCCTTCTGTTGAACTTGACATGGCTGTGGACAGCATATTTACCGGTATTATGAATGAGAAGTCGATCACTGGTAGTAAACAATATTATTGTTCAGGAATTGACAAAGTTTTCTGCTGCAGTGTTTGAAAAAAAAAAAAAAACACATTTTGAACACGATCAAAATTCATTCAAATTAACACTTAGTTTATATAGTATTTTTGAAAAAAAAAGTTGGTGTCAAGTAGTATCCATTAAATAACCCCCAAAACTTGTAAATTTATACTGGTAATGCTTGAAAATGGCTAAGTTCAGAAAAGTTATGTTTTAGTTATACATGAAAATGACAAAGTCCAGAAAAGTTATGTTTTAGTTATACATGAAAATGGCTAAGTCCAAAAAGTTACATTTTAGTTATACATGAAAATGACAAAGTCCAGAAAAGTTATATTTTAGTTACACATGAAAATGGCTAAGTCCAAAAAGTTACATTTTAGTTATACATGAAAATGACAAAGTCCAAAAAAGTTACATTTTAGTTATAACTTTTTTGTACCTCACAGGCTAGGTATAACTAAGTTATACTTTAGTTATAACTTAGTTATAACTTTTTTCGGTATGGGAAAACCCTTGGCTAGCAAAGATGAGGTCACCTGTGGTTATAAGTTAACATCATGCAGTATCTCAAATGTAACTCGCCAATAAAATTATTTATAATTTGTGAATTACTTTATCTTTCACATTGATAATTTTATTTTAACTACATGACAATGTTGATACTTGCAAAAGTTTTATTCTCACACATCAGCTAGTGTCATGACTTAATATTCAGTTAGTAAAACTTTATGAAAATTGTCTGGTCCTTAATATGTACATTGTACAATGATGTGGTATAGATCACAACATGAAACAAAACAGGAATGGGTCAACATGATCAATGTGGTAACCTCTGTGTGAAAAGGAACATTCAGCAGTCACAATTAAAGATGATAGAGAGATCTGGCTTACACACTCTGGCCTAAATTATGGACAATTTAGAACTCTGCCTTCAACTCTCTACATGTACATCATGTACATGCATCTTCTGAGTAGCCTCAATTACAGACATTGATTTAGAGTCATGGGCTGACAAATAGATTTTTAAGGCACTTGTCAACGGGCAAGTACATGGTCAAAATTCACTTGCCCTACTTGAATTTTTGCTTGCCCTACCATAAACTAAATAATACTGTATTTATAAATATTTTTAAAAAAAAGACTGAGTAGATCATGCAAGCCTCTATACCCAGCTTTAAATCTATGGCTAACATATTGATTTATTTTTTATGGCACTTGCCCACGGGCAAGTGGTTGATAAAATTTCACTTGCCCACTCCTAAAATTCACTAGCCCCGGGTGTCGGGCAATGGGATTTGTCATCCCCTGAGAGTTCTGCTTTTAAACTGTCTACATGAATCTTTAATGTCCTAAATCAAGGACAATTTAGCACTCTGCTTTAAACTCTAGATACATGTATCATATTTATCTCTTAAGGTCACAGTACTAAGATTAGAATATACACAAACAGAACTGAACTTGGAGCAAAGGTATATTGACCTGAAAGCCCAGTGAAAGAATTCAAATACTGATTGACGTATCTGTTAACATACAAACAGTTTAAGAGTTTAAGCCTGGGGGACATAAGACTTAGAAGAGTCTCACTTTCCCACTATTCCTTTGGAAAAAGTGAGACTGAGATCAAAAGTGAGCTCTTTTAAGTCTTATGTCCCCCAGACCTGCTCCCCCAACCCCAATCTAACCACCCTCCCTCAGATTGGTCAAATGAGCTGGTGTCTGTGGTCACAAAGTTTCGCCAATCTTTTTCATGGTCTTACAATACATGTACCGGTACACTTTTCCCTCATTTTTGTCAGCTTAATGTGACATGGTTGCATGTGGATATCAAAATTAATATAACCCACTCAGTTAGGAAAAACTGACAGAAAGTCACCAGAAATTTCATCTGGTCCAGTCACCTCCTGACAGGTGCTCTATACAACCACTGACCCTTTTGAACTCTGCAGTATACATAAACTCATCAACCCAGACTTGTCTGTGGCATATGAATTGGACTGACATAAATTAAAAGTTTAACATCTTTTAATTAGACTCTCTCTCTCTCTCTCTCTCGTCTTCTAGTTTAAAAGTCCCTTGCTTTATTTTTCAACAAACTGTTGTGGTTAATATTCTGTTTTTCTCCACTGACTTTTTATTTAGGTCAGACAAATGATGTACATAGAGTTGACCTCAATTCATATGCTAAACAGTTAAAGTGCTGAATGTTTGTAATACTTGAGATCTGTGCCTTTAAAAATCAAAAATGAAATTTTCTAATTAAAGGCAAAAATCTCTTCAGATTTGATGAGAATGAAAGCTTTAAATGCCAAACTTTCACCATGATTACCTCCTAAATACAAAAAAGTTTTGACTTCTAATTATAAATTTCTTAATAAATTCTTAACAAAGCTCTGGTATCTGTTTTGAAAGGGATTGGGTGGAGGGGGCATCCACGATGCAACATTTGTCACTATGAGTATGAATTACACAATAAACATGATAAATAACATTACTTTTGGTCATGCAGCTGTTGGTCTCTTCATTTTACAAATATCCATATATACCGTCTACGAATTTGGTCATTTTTGTGGTTGTGGCTTTATTGATAAATCAAAGAATTTAAATAGAATGGCTATAATAAATACAAACTCCCAGGCTAACAAATCACTGCTTATCAATGAAATAAATTTGACACAATCACACATGGTCGATCAGATGTGAATATCATTCGCCTCATCACGATTTTCTAAACATCCCAACTCGAATTACAATAATGTAAAACAAAGAAATGGCTCTTTTACCTTCTTTTTGATGACGAGCTCATCTGGAAAGATTAAATCCTCTTTGTTGTGTTGAAATATTCACAAAAATGTCTGAAAAATATTTACCAGTTTCTATTTTATGCACTTCCTGTGGATGAAACCGGATATAGCTCAAGCGCCACAACTCGTGTTTTCTCAATGGTTCGAGACATCGTGACCTTAACCTTGTTAGCCTTGTGTACGAGCAACGGATTTTAACAGAAGGCTGAGAACCTAATTAATTAATCATAATTCTGTAATTTTTTTTTTGATTATTGAATGATACCAACACATGCATGAAAAACGCGGTTGCACTTAGGTCTAAGGCATAACACTGAGAGAAAAGAAAAACGATTGGTTCACACAAAACTGTTCACCGTCCCATTTACTTAACCCTAGAGTTCACGTGAGGTCAAATTTCATTGATAGAGCGCAAGGTGATGAAAGGAAAATTTGATTTATGTTGTGATACCCCTGTTTTTGAAAATAAAATGAGTCGTAGCAAGATTTCTATTAGGCCTACCCTAAAATGAGGAATTCGAAATTTTTTATCAGTTGGTTTAAATTAATTAACAATAAAGAGGTTATACATTCTAATATAAAATGAAAAAAAATTATATTCAACACTTTAAATAGGCTATTCATCGGCTAATCATATGTACAAGTCATAATACTGAATGAAAAAAAGAAATCAGACAATTTTTAATTGTACAACTTCTCTTTCTTGTATATGCGACATTTATTATATTATTTTTTTAGCCTGGATAAACGAAACAAATAATTTTTAAAAAGAATAAATTTAAGTTTTTGGGTTAAGGTTACGTTCAAGTTTCAACACTAAATATCATAACAAAATATGCTGTTTTAATGCATATGACATTATGTATCTTTAAATTTATACGTAATTAATTATTTGGGGAATGTTAAAGATTGAAATGGTAAATTTGCCTATGACTTTTTGTATAATTTTCTGCTTAATATACATGTATTATTAATAAACATCTATGTTTTTAATGTACAGTATATATGGTATATAATATATCCACACTCATGGTATTGTTACGTCTTGCCCATTATGACGTCACAATTACAAAGAGGTGTTGTGTCACGGGCACCTGAC